ATCGTCCTTCTCTCCTTGACTTCCATCCAGCACCACCTGCAGGAATACTACTCATTGCCCGTCGACCCCGATGGTCATATCAGTACCTCATCTGGAGTTTCCCGACACCCTGAATTCTTCGGTTCTTCAACAGTATCACTTCCCTCTACCTTAAAGGAGACAGCAGCTCTTATGGCGTGTGATCACAAATCTTGTTAGTTGAACAAACCTGAGCTTGCTCCTGTTGCTTTTGTTGGACAAGTTTCTCCATCTTGTCCCATTCGTGTGGGAGTAGAGGGTCCCAAGGAGATCTCCGACTAAAAGCTGCTCGCTCTTCTCGACTGCCGACAACTTCCAACTTCTGACAAGTGTAACGACTCAAGGACAATCGATCCCCCCTGTTGCTACTGGTAGAGGCTTAGGTGGAAGCTGCGATGGTTCGACCTGATCAGCAATACGATGACGGTGACCAGCGCATACCACAAAACATCCCAGGTCCGTCACGACGTTACGAGTGAATCTGGTAACTCACCTTCACGCCTAGAATCCGATTTTCAACGAGGAAGTTTAGACCGTGTTCGCTCTGGAAATAATTATATGGGTCCATAGATGTGGTCTGACCCTGAGATAGTGGGTAAAATACCTAATTTATGAGAATGAGCAAGATACCAAATCGAATTGATATACTATGACAGCTGTGGGGTTCGAACCCACGCCCTTTCGGACTGGCGCCTTAAGCCAGCGCCTTAGACCACTCGGCTAAACTGTCGATGAATTTAATGGGCATGAATTCCCTTCCAGAAGGCAGTCAAACCCATCGGAGCAGGAACTAACCCCCATCGAAGAGCGGAATGACCTACTTGGTTCCCCACTTCTCCTTCGGCATCTCTCATTTTCTCAACTTTGATCTCTCTCGTTACCTGGGCCTCCTGCTGAGATATTTTCTCAGCGGCCGAGACCTATCAACCAACGAGACGGCGTTCAGTAAACTTCACATACGAACAATAACTCGTCCTCAAAGGTGTCCTCAACCAGCTACTCGTGTATCAATAATCCTGCTGAACTTACCACGCTCGGCACACTCGACTCCTCGTCAATGTATTCCTTCTCCGCTGATTCCTTCTCAAGTCTGCCCACTACTTCTGCAGCCAATCTACGGAAACCCTGCTCTCAGTCAAAGCGCTTGCTTCTAACCGCTAGATCGCACAAGTGGGAGCTCGGCATAGATAAACATGTACATCAAAAGGTTTCCGCGTCATTTCGTGGCGCGCGGTACTCACTTCACAGCTGTACTCAGCATCTCATCGGCACCTGGTGCATTCTGCCCATGTTGCCGCGAGATCGATACACTTTACCTCTACCTGGAAACAACAGCCATCATAGCGCCGATGATTGACTCATCACAGAAATTACTCAAGCTGGTAGGAAAGTACACAAATCTAGCACTGACGATGAATCACAACCTACTTCTTTTTTGCTCCATCCATGAGCATCTTTCCCGGCACCTGTCGTTCGATCGTTAGTCGTCATACTGATAGAAATCAAAACTGATATTCCCCGTACACGATGATACAATCTTGTGGACTACTCCGAGTGAGCATAGCAAAAGAGATTAGATCGGCCCTTAGCCCAAGCCATCCTCGAAAGACCACACCATTCGCAAGCGCCATATAGTCTAAGAATATCGGCTTGAGGAGACAATGATAGATAGTTCCTGGCACATAATCGGAAAATCAATGCAGCTGGAATATGCCGATTGAGTCACTTGAACGTCAAACCGTGATGGTAGGTGCGGTGGAGGGTCCTCGTGAGAAGAATCCATAAGTTTCTGACCAGAAACTTGACGTGAACGGAATCTATCAGCTCAGAGGTCAAAACCACTCGAGCTCCTAAACCCGAAAGCCTTTCGCGAACGTTTCGAGCCGAAACTCTCATTCAACGCAGAAGCCAAATCCCCCACACTCTCTGAGCAAACTTCCTCTCAAGAATTTTTGCTAGTAAGAGAAACCCGTAGGTCAACTGAAAATTATTCAGTCGAATCGACGGATGCTGGGAAAGACAAGCGACGGATATCGACGGCATCGATAGAGTCGTAGGGTACGACTCGTAGGCCACCATAATCTATAGTGAGTGGGGAAGAATGGATGTCTACTTCTTGCGACAAAGCGATAATACAAATGAACGCAGGAGGAGGGTACAATAGGTCAGTCTTACTTCTGAATCCTCTTCTTCGAATAAAATTCCCATCCAACAGCCGCCACCATCTCCGAGAGGCAGTTTCCGCACAGAAATCTATACCACACCCAAGCACCATCCAAAATCATACGAGATAGTGAGCATGTCAGGTTGACATGTCAACGCGGCTGAGAACGATTATTACCTGAGAGCAGCACGAAAAATCACGTTAATTATCTCAGTGATATCGCGTCCTTATGGTTGGACGGTGTTTAAAACCTCATTGAAGCATGGAAGAATGCACCTGGTATTCGGAGCCCCAGATGATGCACAATCCAAAGAATGCATGATGAATTCAACGGATCGTGCAAGTTGATAATTTGTTATAAAGTTGGTACTAACTCGGACTCCTCCGCTACGCCAGGAAGGGAGCGATATAATGCGGCAAACCGTTCTCATGGGTATAGATTAGTCCAGTCGGACCACATGAAAATGCCGCTACTGTATCTCCGCCTGCCACCTCTGTAGTCCACTGACCAGCCCCGCCGAACACCGCGAGAATGGTCATACCAGAAAGCATGGGTTCAACGTATCGGCTTGGGAGAGCATTGAACTTTCAACAGCTGCCGAGAAAATGAGTCGTGCGCAACACCAAGTGAATCCACGAAATCACAACACTATCAGCGGTCATGTTATCATCTCCATGATTTCGTATTCTTCTTCTTCTTCTTGTTCGTCTTATCAGCAGCCTTAGCCTCGGCATCCCTTTGCATACGGGTGGCAAGCTCATCGTGCAGTCCCCTAGAGAAATGAATGAACATGTTTTGGGACTCTAAAATGTCATGTCTCATGTCGACGAGTCTCATCGCCACAATGATTGGATCTCCAATGCATCCCCCCGACCTATGAGCGTCCATCCACTCATCATATCGCGTACAGGCATCCTCGAATTCATGCATCAGCTTATGGTCAACCTCTGGATACTCTATCAGATGCCTCACTGTTGTAAACTCATCTGAAACGAGACTACTAGGCTGTGTTCAACCGAAATGACAGAGAGTCGGATCCAAGTCGTATCAGACTTCTCACTCGGTCTCGTAACCACTGGGTTCGGCTCCTCAACGGCTTCCACCTGACCAAGACGACACAGCCTTTCAGTAGTCGGTCAACAGCTCGCCCCATCTCTCACTTGCCGACTCACACAAGGTGGTATAGAAATGTGAGGAATGGGCAGGGTCTTCAAGTCAACACTACACCCTGTTCTGATAAGGTAGTGACTCGTGCCTGATCGATCGTCTCTGTCTGCAGTTCCGCAGATATACGTTCAACGGATGAGCGAACCATACAGAGGTGGACTGTTGGTTGCCGGAGATTCTGATCCACCACTACTAGTAGTAGTCTACTACTGTTGGGTCTAGACCCAACAGTAACTCTGTAGCCTCTGTGCTAGACTATGTAGTAGTAGCCTCTATGTAGCTCACTATGTAGTATCCAACTATGCTCTTCTAGATCAGTATTGCTATTTATCTCCGGAATGACAAAGGAACTGTGACCTCTTTCAGAAGGGTGCTGCGGAGAGCCGACAGGTGACCATTGACGGAGGTCCTCCGTCCGGCCGCAACATTTCACATCATCGTCATGTCCACTAGTTGAGGCTACAGCTATTTTCGGGATATAACTCGAGCTGAGTGACAGCTCTTTGAGCAACAGAGAGCCCTCAAGCCTTCGGTATTCCGTAGCTACACTCAGCATCCCACCTACATCCGTCCATCGGCAGGTCCATAGGCACACTCTCCTTGATAAGGTCAGAAGCACTGAGAGCCTCCCTAGCCTCCCTAGATGGCAGAATCTCCTACGATGCAATCACTGAGCTCCATCGATATCTAATCTCTCACCTGAGCCTCACTGATACCATCACCATATATCACGATGAGCCTGGGAGGATGCGAAGATAAACCGTCCACTGCTGGTAGGAACTGATCGGACATGAAGATGATATCGATACAATATCCACATGGACTACGTGTATGACTTTACAACGGTGATCGAGGGAAACGATCAACCTTTCAACAGTGTAATGATAATCTCGACCTCGTACATGACAACTCCATCCATCTCTTCAAGACACATACGAAATACTCCATTACTATTCACAAGCGACACAGTGTGAAGTTCTAAAGTTCAATTACCGGTCTATAAGCAAACAGAAAGATTATCTATAGCAAGATTGGGTGGTCCCACCTACGTCTTTATCAGGATGATATAGAGCCGTCATTGAAGGTGAGACCTCAGCTAAAGGCGCTCCAGGCCTAGGGGAAGGCATGTCCTTCGATTCGTCCAACGACGTCGCCAATCTCACCGAACCTATGCAAATGACTGTCAGATCCCGAGCGATGTCGAAGGTCGTACAGCGGTTCGTCCTGCCATCTATCTCGAATGAATTCCTCTCATTATCGACGCATCTCAACATGAACGAACCACCGTCATCAGCATGCTCGACGAATTCAGAAACGTACGGGGTGCCAACTATCACTGTTTTACCTGGAGGAGTATCCGTAGTGGAAACCATAGCCATTGGAAATTTCAACAATATTCGGTATTGATAGATTCGATTTACCAATACCACTCCACGGAGAATGTGCTGAATTTGATATGGTCAATATTGATACTGCCACCCGTGTGAGGCGACATCTCAGAATGATTATCATTATCGACCAATATCGACATCCCATCTCAACCACAAGTTCTGAATTAGTAACATTCACATGGCCAGCTATAGGAGTGATCTGGGAGTTATCACCTCAGAAGACGAAGTGGGATAGAATGCTACTACAGGCCTCAGCCGAATCATAGAATGAGAAATGTTTACATTGAGATTCATATATGTAAGAACAATGTATAATTAGATGTATCACCATTATGATCACAACATCCTTATCATCATCAAGGCTCATTAGATCTAGAGAGTAATCCGACGAGCATATATATTTACTCCTACCAGTAGTCGCATCGATCTTGATAGCCTCTCCCGCATCTGGCCTCTCGACGGTTACCCTCTTCTCTTCTCCATCAAATTCAACGGAGATCTTCGAGCTGTCCTCCAATGATATCACGCACTACAATCACATACCAGTACCAAGAGTAGTAGTAGGAAGGAGAGGAGCCATAGCTCATAGCCGTCCCGATGCCCGACGACTCCCAGCCTCAACCTCACCATTTCACTCGAGTCCGTCCTGCTAATGCTACATAGTGGCGTCCCAAGCTTCGATATTGTAATTCTTTCCTCCTGTCCTCCGAGCCTCTCTGTGATGATGCGTGTATGATCAGGAAATACCACCTGAGGGAAGCTGACAAACGCCACTATAACGATCTTCAACCTTACAGTTCGTGTAAACCCATCTCGCGTAGTGATAATCATCGTGCCAAGGTTATTAGTGACGATCTCATCGCCGCTATCAGGATCGACTTGGGTCACAGAAGGAACTGATCCAGCAACAAACAGTGTGCGAAAATATTCACGTGGTCCACAACATGTGCTGATGAGAATGAGAAAATCATGGAAAATTCTCGTCTGTCGGTTTCGTACTCCTCTACCCTGAATAGTATGTAGATTTAACACCCAATACAGGGTGGAGGTGTACAATATAATGAAAAAACTTGTGAGCCTAGCTGAACAAATCAGTCGCATATAGTACACCACGGTCGCAGGTAGATTCCCATAATGTTATGGAGAAACTCCCGAGCTCAGCTGAGAAAAGAAAACATATTTCACAACACTGGTAAGAGAAAGAAAACTTTCTGTGGTCGACTGGAGCTGACTGATGACAGATCTTCAGGAGAGGCCCGCCCCTACCCTTCGTGTCGAGTTCCTCCTCACACATACCTCCTTGGACTAAGCACTCGATCTCATCAGAGTACCTGTATAAAAATTTGTATCATAATCCAAAATCCGCTATCTAAAACTCGATTTGAAACTCCATTGAATTTTCTGAAAATATTCAAATAATTTCTATTTTCAAAATCTAGTTCTTCTGATGCCGTCACCAACACGAAACAGTCCAGATGTCACCTCTTCTCAGCCGCTCGGAACTCTGTATCAACCTTCGTCTGCTCTTCCTCTCCCTCACCAACTACTTGTGATAGAGTCTCAGGTCGCTGCGGACGGTTCCAGCGTCTATACCTTGGGAGAACACTATATACAGTACGTATCAATCCATATGAGAATGTGTGTTGTTTTGGAGAACGAACTATAGTGAACAAGTTGTGAATCCCGAGAAATGTCGCACATTTGCATATCAAATTGACACGCACTGGTGTTCCTCACATTTCACCGCTCCTAGGTTTTATAACAATCCACATCCCCGGACGAGAATCTACTAGAAGGTGAAACGAGCCGGTCAGCTCCTCAGGAGTCGGGTCTCGATAGCTGAACGTACCTGAATGAGGGGCATCACCAAAGAGTATCCTGCTCATCATATATTATCAGCTGAATCGAAACTCCCATCTCTAATTCTCATTAGTAATGAATCATTATTATCACTCAACTATACGCTACCCTTTATGCACGATACGCGGGAATAAACTTCATTTTGCAATTTTCGACCGCCGAATTCTCGTGATTTGGGAAAATCTACCAAGTCTGGTAGACTCTGCAAATCCTCTAAGGTAAATATCTAAGAGCTAGCATGATCCCCAGGAACCGGTACGGAGCTATGCTGGCCCCCGCCTCCTGGCAGTCCTCACAAGGTCCTCGACTACACTTCAAATTGTGGTTCGACGCTAATATCCATAGTATATACTATACTGCGATTAATAGTGCCAACAACGGTAACATGCCGATTTCGTATTAATATAGAACTACTAATATTTCATCGATTGTGATGAATATAATCACCCTAGACTATATGTGAAAACAGATTTCAATGATTGTAATTTCATCTCTCACTGACCGTCAGGATAAAGCAACTCCTTCCTCCCACTCGTCAACTCCCGCATGATAACACCCTTGGGAAATACTCTTCTACTTCTCTCAACGTCACATCTACAACGATTCTAATAAACAATGACACTCTTAACAGTTTACACTAGATCGCCGCAGCGAGCGTTGGGGACCATCCGCATCAACGGTTTCTCAAACGTCACCTTTTGAGGTTTCAATTCAATACCTGTGAAACGAACGAGGAATGGTATCTACAGACAGGTAGCCAACCTTGATGAAGACAGAGTGTAACCCATGTAGCTCTCAAAGGAGTATACATGAGCACGAAGCCGTTCCCTCCATCTCGGATGACGGTGAAGCGCGATGAATCCTGAAAGCCATTCGTGTCATAACACACAGTAAACGAAAAGGCAACTTCACCTGATCTGCATGAACGAGATCAGGTAAAATATAAAATCCTACTTCCCCATCCGTGAGGAGGAAAGCAGTGTTGGGAGAAATTATGTTCGCTTTCTCAGCTGAGCTCAGGAGTTTCCCCACGAATTACAGGAGTTAAAATTGTACAAAAACCAACGAGATTTCTGACAATTATCATATTGTCAGCATCACATGTAGCAGACCATGTATACATATCCACACTGGAAGGAAGAGCAACCGTGAAATTGTTCACCTCAAACACGCACGACACGTACGATTCCCCAACCCTCAGAGTGCAGCCCTTCACAAATGCCTTCGTAACTCGTCTACTGCATATGAGCTCCCTAAAGCACATACAGTGAAAGATCAACATCATGAAGTAACCCCCACCTGTTAAATTCATCCTCGTGCTGAATATCATCATCGTTCCCCTCCTCCCCTGCTACCAGGGTTTCCTCTTCCATCGCTTTCTCCTCTGCACCTGAAATATGTCGTTCTTGCTCGAACGAGCTCAGAAGACACGGCCAAAAGCCAAACGAGATGGGGAAAAGCATCTGCTGATACCAAAACTAACATTTTGAGCTCATCTGATAAATCTGAGAATTTAACCCTACGGAACCTAATCTCTGACCCAGATTCGGTAATGTAGAGGAGACAGTGCCAAATTCAATGTGCGAAAATACATACATGGTCAACTACATATGTTGGTGACAATGTCAAACTTCTAAAATTTTTGGAGATTCTCATTGAATTCTATACACTTCCACCTGAATTCGTATGCAAACTTTAATAAGTCAGGAAACTCCTGAGCTCAGCTGAGGCGAGCGAATATATATTTTCAATCAAATCGATTCAAAAACACTTACCCGCATCACAGTCGACAGGGGTCTTCCCGATCGCACTCGTACCTGACATATCTCACCAAACCATAACGTAAAACCAAGCCCTACGAGTAAACTTTGTTGAAATAATCACACTCCCATCAGCTGGTACATAGCATTTCTCAACGGCTTCCCGAATTTCATACTGAGGACCCTGAGAGTTTACCATAGACTCTATTATGGCCGCCTTTCTTGCTTACCTTAGATGCCTGCAAATCCACATCTGGATCTTCCGCGGCCTCGCCATCCGCATCGACTTCGTTTTCCTCCTGCATTAATTCCTAACAATAACCATAAACCCTTTGGAACATTAACGTATAATAAACTCCTTGAGTAGCTTGTAATTTGTATGATCAATATTAATACAATTTTACCGTAATTCCTGCAAATGTTTTCCTTCTGCTCTGACTCCTATAAGGTATACACTTCAACTATATTATCAGCATTAGCGCATATTCCTTATGATGAACAATTCATGATTTACATTATAAGTATCATCTCATCGTGATCAGAATATTGGAGTTCCGCCCATGAAATGAAGAACTCTAGTGAAAAACATATTCCTTACGATTCACTGTGTGGGAAACGAGTGTGTTGTCGATCACGGAAAAATATACATTCTGTGATAACATGGAGTATTACGCCATTTAGCATTAAACGGGGGAACTCCATTGTTCATATGATTACGAATTTATACAAATTGGATTATTTCATATCTTGATAATCGTCATAGAGATAAACTATATCACTATTCTTTAATCTAAGACGCCTTATTGCTCACACGTCTATCTCTTTATAGGGAAAAACCATACCCAGTGTTGCAGGAATACATTTTCGCTTCCCCCGGCTGAGCTCAGAAATTTCCTTACTCGAATTCTGGTGGATATGCGCAACAAACAGAAAGAATTTCCCCAAATCCTCTTCCAGAATTTTCACTTTGCCCGGCAAACTTCGCGACGAAGTTTGCCACCAACACACGTAGTTGACCATATGCATATAATCCCAGACTCCTGCTCACTTCCTCCTCTTTTTCCTCACCGACTTCAACTTCTTCTCTCCATGTATGCATACACATCCTTCCTGGAGGCGTCGGATAATAACTAATCATCATCGCCATACAAACAGTGTCCGAATATGCGTTTGCTTCCTCCAGCTGGGTTCGCGAGTTTTCTCACTAATCTTAGGAGTTTACGTACGGCTTGAGCTGTACAGGAACTAGCGTGAGAAAGTATGCACATGGTCAACCACATGTGTTGGTGACAACAGGGAAATTCTAAGGAAACTTTGCGAAATTATCACTAGTTTCTGTATATTTCACCCGAATTCGTATATAAACCTCTATAAGTAAAGTCCTGAGCTCAGTTGAGGGAAGTGAACATATATTCCAACGCTTACAGGACTAAGGAGAATACCCTAAAATTTCCATATTGTCACCGACACGTATAGTCGACCATATAATCTCACATTGCATATACGACTCTTCCATATCTCTTACATAGCAATAAGCGTAGCATCATATCTAGACCAGTAACGTGTAACTAGGTAGGGCTCAGCCGCCGCCCTGCCGTATATCAGCGCACCAAGTCGCTGCCTCAACAACCCCATAGGAATCTTCTCACACACCGTTCGGTCGATCAGCGAGCTGACGTTGAATCGACCACAACAGCATTCAAGTTCCTCACGCTAAACTGCAATCTCCCACGTGCCCTTTTTTGACAGTTGTAACGGAATTCATCAACTTGGCAAATTCTGTTAGAAGCAACAGCCTTTCGATAGACGCCCGGCTCAATCGCTTCGGCATGAAGGGAATCTGAGGCCGAGAAAGAAATTCGTGGGAAAAAATATTTCCGAAAAAGTCTCTTCATTCGTTTCAAAGATCCATTTTTTATTCTGGATTTTTCAAATCGGCTTCAATGCCATCTTTTCTACGTCGTTTCTGGATATCATATTTCCAGATAAAGACCAAACCGTTTTTGATAATGGAATTTCCCCACCTACTATTTTAGTCCTCAGAGCTCTTCTCTGATCAGCAGTGAGAGGCTCCGACTGTCCCACGGTTGGAGTGGCAGGGATACGAAAACAATGATCAACCTGATACACATTTACATCTGAACGTTAGCAGGAGTGGCAGTAAGTGAAAAGGTACTCGAGCAGAGAACTACTACAGTGTGGTATTAATGACCACCAACACAAACGATTATCACAATGGAGTCTCACCCTAGTGATATGAATAACACTAGTGAAAAACATATTTCACGACTACTGCATAGTGTGAATATCGCCGCGTTTTTCACCGATTTTCACGCCACCTCACGTGAAACTCCAATGATAATCGTTTGTGATGTTATCGTTGATAGTCGCATGATCGTTAGATAAATCGTATACCTTTGATAACATCACAGCATAGAAGTCTTCAACTGACCCTTTCATAAGACGGCGAAGAGCGATATCCTTACATTTTGGGAAATATAATATGTTCAGGGAACTCCTACTACGCCCAGCTGAGGGAACCAGGATTCTATCGTGATTATATTATACAGTTCTTCCTTAACAAGTGCACACCATTCAAGAACAGTATCCCGTCCTCACCCTCTTAGCGACAGCATCAACTTTTTCATGCCCAAACATCTCCACACCTCTAAAACGACACTTCAAATCATCCAAACTGGGAAGCTGACAAAATCCAAATACGCGAACATATACACCGCCAAACTCACAACAGCATCCTCCAGATGGTGATAAGGATTCGTATCGGAGTCATCAGTATCGGACTTCTTATCTACTTTCGATACGCCCCAGTCTTGTGCTATTGCTTCGATATACCTGCGATTTTTCCTTGGAGTAATTTATTGCACTTTCACCCGTTTCGCGTGAAGTGGCGTGAAACTCGGTGAAAAACGCGGGGATATTCACACTATGCAGTAGTCGCGAGATATGTTTTCCACTAGTCTTTTCATATCACTAGGGTGAAACTCTAATATAGAATATCGCAATATTTAATATATTCATCGTTTATGTATAACATACTACGTGATTATGATAATATTCAATACCTACAGAGTGTTAGCCAATTTCATATGCGACTGTGAAATATTAATAAGAATCGATCTGAAACTATACCGCATAGTTCATGTAGATAGTGCTATAAACATCAACCGTGTGAAACTTGTTCACTATCACTAATCTCGGGAAATAACATGTGTTTCACATTTGCATATCAAGTTGACACACACTACAACTATCACCCATAATAAAATAACGAACAACCAAATATAAAATATCTACAAATGAATAATATTGATTATTCATCTATTCATCATAAATAGATAAGATTATATGAATCATACCGATAAAGTTAAATATCAGCGTAAGCAACGACAGATATGCAGCAATAATGAAGCGACGACGTATTGTCCCGGGGAAACCATTCAGAGTACGCATTCCCCTTACTCGGATAGCTTTCGAGCTTCGTGTCTCTTACATTCCTCATCACCAACGATAGCTACACCTACGACAGATGAGAATACCCTTCCATCAGGATCAGAAGTCCGTGAGGAATTAGAGCGCTATGACTATCAATTAAAGAGTAAAAATCCTCAAACTAGAGACTTTCGGACCACGAAATTTGATATCCTGGAGTGAAGTCAAGATGCGATAGATCCTATTGAGACTTCTATATTCGATGTCATACAAAAACAACTAACCTTCGGAGTCTATGGAGAACTACAACTTGAATTGATCAATCTCAGACGCGATCATTCTTTGATCGTTATAGCAGAGCCGCAGTTTTAGCACAGACAGGAGGTAAGACCAAACGGTGTGTTCACGGATATATGCTTCGCTCCGCGATTACATTCTTTCCAACGATCAATGAATTGATCTTGAAAACTCTTTCATAAGGTGACCATATCGATAGCGTTGGCAATATGCACATGGTCAACTACATGTATTAGTTATAATATAATGAGTAAACTTAGGGTAATTTTTATTGATCTTAGTACACTTCTACCGAGCTCACATGCAAACCTGTATAGTCAGTCAGAAAACTCCCAATCTCACTTAAGAGCAGCGAACACATGTTCCGACACTTCATATCGTAACATTCAATTTACTCACCCGCGGATTTACTCCTAATCGTAGCACCGACTTGCTCGACCATGCAGTCTAGTAGAACAGATGGGCTTTGATAAGGTGGATGGATACTATCAGCCAACTTCTTATACCTATCACTACCCAGCTCATTGATGAGAGCTCTCACTAATCCCTCACACAGAGAGGTCCACTTCCACGTCTCTATCAACATGAAGAGGTGTAGTAGTGTCTTGAACGGTTTCCGGATCAGCGACCATGAACTCAGCAAAAAGGTAATAACTGCAAATGCTCAGCGAACAAAGTTAGCTATATTCGATTCTACTCCTTGCTTGCTTTGTCGCTCTGCATGCACTCAGCAAACAGTTCAGATTTGGATATAACAAGGATCAATCAAAACATTGGAGTTCCATCCGTGATATGAAAGACGCTGGCGGAAAACATATTTCACGGCTACTACAGGTAAAACGGGTAGTCGTGAAACTCCATTGAATTATGATGTTGATCTTTTGACGTGTGGACATCCACTGCGTGAAATGATTTTCCAAAAATTTGTTATTTATTGTAAGAGAGATCTCGGATGAGAGAAATGCCATCGTGCCTGCCAAAAGCTTGACCGGTCGCAATAAACTTCTCATTCTTTGACTCAGTGATGCAATACTATATTATCGACATGATCGCACTCATTGATATAACCCCTAATCTCGACTGGAATAGGTAGATCCGCAGCGACGCAACGAAGTGCTCGACCAAATTATCAACAGTACGTCAACGTACCACACCTCTCCGAACTATCCTCAATATCTATGGTGGGACTTCCTGCCCTGGCCAACCACAGAGAGATACAGAACAGGAGGTTATTAAGTATTGTAATTGACCAACTTTAACTCGGCTCCATCCGGAATATATGATCGACAACCTCAGCATTTGAACACTAATATGGCCATGTCTCCCTGGTAGTAGCAGTACATTAACGAACCATTCTGAGAAGATGACTTCATATGATCTCATTCGAATAAAGGACGTCTGCTAGTGACAGGGATTTAGTTGCTATTAATATTTAAGAGTTAACCACCCATCGCCTCGTACTGTCTGATTGTTGTCTACACTCCTTCCTAATAGAACACTGCTCTTGAGACAGCACGCACGCACAAGACTATTGTGCATCTTAATGAGCCGAAAA